CATCCTGCGGCGGAGGCTAGCGGGACGGAGGGGCACAGCCGGGCGCGGCGAGGCGCGGGCTCGCCAGGAGGCGCCAGGACGCGGTGCTCACCACCATCGTGGGACTCCCCCGTCGAACACCAAGGTAGTATATCTGTCTAGTTTACACCCAGTTTGGCCTTTCTATTTATCCAACGTTTTCTTTTGAAGCGATCGCGGGTCCGGACGCGGCAGCAGGAGGCGGCAGCAGGACGCAGCAGGAGGCGGCAGCAGGACGCAGCAGCATGTGATTAGTGTATGGGGTGGGGTGTGGTTCATGTTGTGTGTGGTTCATGTTTCGTGTGTGGTTCATGTTTCGTGTGGTCTTTGTGGTTGGTTTGTGTGGTGTGGGTTGTGGTCTTAATTATGCTTCTATTTTTTTTTTTCAATTCTCTTTACAGATGGGTGAGAACGGCAGGCATCAAAATTGATGTGAATCACTCTTGAAATGCCAGTAGCTTTTGAGAAGGATTCTAGCTACAGCAGCACCAATTTGTAATTAGCGTCAATTTAGAGCTCAAATGATTTTTAGTTTTATCTAGATTACTTCTTGCACTATAATGTTTTATCATATTATAGTATTTCATTGAATTTTTCCTTGCCGACCATCAAATCTGATTTGGTGCCGCTGTAGTTTCCTGTCGTTGGCGTCATGGCAAAATATTGGAGCAAAAGCTTTAATGTCTTGCTCCTCCCCGTGGTCTCACCTGGGAAGAAATTATATGCCTCTTATTGCCTCTGAAAGGTTGAATTACTTTCTATCGCTCCAGATCAGGAATAAGATAAGTTACGTTTCTATTGCCAGCAAAGAGAGCATATGATTTCTTGCTAAACGCCTAAAATAGGGATTTTCAGTTTTTTGTTTTTGTTTTTACAACTATTGCTGATAATTAAACCACTTCGGAATCTGTCAGACCCTAGAATTGAGCAGCCAAGGGCCCATACTTGAGTTAATGTAAGTACTTAAATCTGTCTGCCCTGCTGTTCAATTTACGTGTTCATCCTTGGTGTTTCTTTGCTTGCAGGATGTCTTCGCCAACCACTGAGGATCTTTGACTCCATTCTTCGGTGGAATTTCCATTTAAGAAGTTTAAGCAAGGTAAGCTTTCTTTCGACCGTAAATCCATTCTTTTTTACAAATTTTGTACTTTTTAGCTAACTTTCCATTGTCATTGTTTGCAGATCTGCTTGTGAAGTTCCAAGTGTGGATCTTTGACCACGCCTACCTTTCAGTGACCCGCAGTCTTCAGTTGTTGCTTCATCTGGCCTGCCAACTTGGTAAGGAGACCAAGATCCAGCTCTTTGGTCATATCTTGAAGTCCCTCTATGAACTCGTGTAGAGGATATCTTCTCTATGATTTACGCTGCGATGATTGTTAGTGAATCCCTCCCGAGCACTGCCTAAATCATAAGTTACTGTTTCTCTAAATATATTTTTCTGATGCCTTGAAGCCTCAAACTGTTCCCTGCAATGCGATTTGAAGTACTTACTGAAGGAAACTTTAATAAAAGTTAAATTTTTACACCGTTCTTAGTTATTTGTTCTTCACCACCCCACTATCACCTGCTTGGTGGTAAATAGCATCTTACTCAGTGCAAGTGTAACCTCTTCACTGACTCGGGCCACTACACGGCACTGAGTGTATTGACAAGGACTATGTAAAGAACAAGTACCATTTTTAGCGCATTATTGATTTCGTGTTACCTTCTCCCTTGTTAATTCTCTTAGAATCATTTGTTTATTTTGGATACATGATAAACGTATCACAGCTAGTGTAGGTTCGCATTTCGGACGTGAACCGTTTTCTTGTTGGAATCGCCGCAGCACAGCGCCTGCGAGGTCGGGGATAGGCCACCCGAGCGCGCGTCTGCCGAGCGGGTGGCCCATGCCGCGGCTCGCTAGGCGCCCAGCCGGAGAGCCCTACGAAAGATGTGTGGTTAAGTTAATTTTCTCGTTTTTCTGATGGTGCAAAATCTGACGTGTTAAGTGGACTCCACCCGTCAATTAATTCGAAAGCATGCGCGTAGTCATAATTAAGAAGTAAAGGGAGACAGTCCCAAAGCGCCATGAACGATGATACGCCATAGTATAGTGTACGA